TTACAATGCTGAATGCTTGGGGAGAGATCATGCCACTATGATTCCCACCTCCAGAAAAAAATTATATTTTCTCTGTCCCACCAAACAGGAGCCTTATGTGTACTTGATTTGGTGGTAATTGGGGGAGAATTTTAGTGACCGCAACCTGGTTACTTCTGAAGCTGACACTTTTAAGCTTTGAGGACCACATGCAAAGTATGGGCTTTCCCTAAGTGGAGCTAGATAATCAGCAGCTTGAAGAACCAAAAAGAAAAAAAATGTTGTGCACATAGGATACATTGCCAAGAACTGCTAGCATTAGCATGCATTTCAGACAAGTGTTTGATAACTAGACAGCAAATGCTCACAATATATGGTGCATTTCAAAGAACAAGAAGCTCCTAAACTGGAAAAATTAGAGATCATACTTACATCTGTGTTAAACCGTGATGTATAGAGTTCTGGATGCTTGTCATATTCAACTGGATCATATACCCCATCACTTTTCCTTATAAGATGCTGGTGTCGACTTAGTACTGTTCCGTATACTTTTCTAAGGTCTGTGAGGCAATACTCAATAAATCAGAGAGCAATAATAGATACTGCAAATTTCTAGTGAACATATAATTGATTTAGCAATACCTCCAGTTCTAGAGACCTCCTTCAATTCGTGGGGCTCCACAAACTCACAAGGCAGAGCGTTAAACATTTCCTGGGCACCCTGCAGATAAAGGTATGACCAGGACTTTAGAAATAATGCAAAGCAACAGGGAATAATACTTATATTAAGGACCTTTGTGTACTGTACTTTATAGAGCCAGTATGGTGGATAATGATGTGATACTCAGATTGGCCAAAGGGAAATGGAATTCAGTTCCTACATGACTTTAGATCACCATTCCCTCCCTCATAATCCTTGCCCCCATTTCTTGCTCCCTGTAGGCCCTACTACTGAGGTCAAAAGGTCATGTAAGGTAGAGAGTGCAGAGAGGAACACCAAGCCACAAGTGGGAGTTTGTTTCTCCATGCTGCTTCAAACTCTGACTCTCAGGGTCAAAACATCTGCTTTCCATGCAAAAGGTCCCTGGTTCAGCCCTAGCATTCCTATCGGGAGGTCTGAGAAAGCCTCTAAAATCCTGGTGATTCTGCCAATGAGGATAGACAATACTGACCCAGATGCCCCCAGAGCTGATAAAGGCAGGGTGGGTAACATTTTGCACCCAGAAAGGAGCTGCCTTTTCTTTCTTTTTTTTTTAATCCTGTTGCCTTCCAATGACTTCTGGGATATAGTCAGCTTCATTGCGACTAAACATTTTTAGCCCATGATAAAGGCAGGGTGGGTAACATTTTGCACCCAGAAAGGAGCTGCCTTTTCTTTCTTTTTTTTTTAATCCTGTTGCCTTCCAATGACTTCTGGGATATAGTCAGCTTCATTGCGACTAAACATTTTTAGCCCATTTTCATTTACCTTAGTAAAAAGGAGGTAGGTAAGGAGAAAAACATGTGTGTAGAGTCTTATGGCAGCTTAATACAGCTATTTTGCCCTTACTTTCTTTTTACAAATCATTAAAAAAACATGCTGGCTAAAACTAACTTTAAAAATTAAATTTAATATTGGATTCAGATCCTACCTTTCTGACTATTTCAACAGTTTTCAAACTTTTTCAAGCCATAGAAGCTGTGAGTTTGTTAGTTTTAAAAAAATCTGGAACCCTTAATCAAGAAGCAAGCTCTAGTAATAGAAAATTGGCTTTGTTTGACAGAGAGAGAGAGAGAGAGAGAGAGAGAGAGAGAGAGAGATTTTGCACTTAGTCTTTCGCATTACTCCATCAAGTTCTCATGAACTGTGGTTTCACAGAAAACAGAGTGAAAACCTCAGGTGTATTTGACAATCAAGACAGCTTACAACAGTAAGAGAGATTTAGTGCCAAGAGAGATGTTCCTGGGGCCAAAAAAAAAAAAAGGGTAGGAACAAGGCATCACATGAGGACCATGAGTTTCCCACTCTGATATAAGGCCAGTGCCAGTGTTCTACCTGCCACCTGGAGTAATCACATTATTGGAATTCTTATAAGGTGGATAGGTATGTACGTACTTCCAAAACTACATAATAGCCTGAGTTAGATACAGAGAATTAATAGCTTATGGTTTCAGTGAGAAAATGTATTGATGTGGCATATTTCAAGTGTGTCTTACCTTAGAGACATTACCAGTACCTGTAAACACAAATGTGAGGGGCCCAATAGATTTTGGCATCAAGCCTAGGGAAATTTCATAGCCAGCATCCCGAACTGCTTGAACAGCCTGGCTGCTATTTCTATAATTATGAGCCATACCAATATGCTGAAACAAAAAGATAGGACACTGTTGTCAGTAGCACTTTCAGAAAGGTTAATAAAATGCCTATAATCCAACATTTGGCCGGCAATTGGGTACATGGCCTTACCATGAATGGAGTATGATGTCCCAAAGCAAGAAAACGTAATCCCATTCCATGTAAAATATTGATCATACCTGGATTAGAATTGCAATATATATAGAGAGAGAATTATTAATCATATGATGCAATCATATTGCCAAAACAAGTAACTAAATTGAAGCACAGAATGGAATTGCAATAGCTTATGTATCAAAATTAGAACTCTGTACAAAATCCTTTCCAACACAGGTCAGTCCAGAAGTTTAGAACTACAAGTCCCTTCAGACCTTTATCAAGTAAATTATTAGGAATGAAGGGAGCTGTAGCCTGGTGTTTGAAGGATTCCCATTTGAGAAAGTTGTTATCTGTTCTTATCTAGAAATGAGCCGGGCTGAGATCCTACATGCAAATGCAATCTCCTATTCAAATAAATACTGGAGAAGATAATCTATTCCTTATCCCACTGACTAGATAATGTCGATCATCCACCTCTGCATTGTGGGGTTTTTTGGGGGGGGGGGTTGTTTTAATGGGAAGAGGCTGGATGAGTAGCTACCGGACAGACCACTATCCCCCAAAATGAAACTGAGTTATACAAATAGCCTGACTTGTGATAAGGTAGAATCTGACAGCCTAAGAGTGACATTCCATTGCACAAACTTAAGATGTTCTAAATGAATGAGCTACAACTGAGCAAAACAGAAGTATCACTTTATCTACACTACCACTTCATAGATACTCCAAATATTCTTCTTGAAAAATAGTAAGTGCACAATATTAATATTCACTCCAGATACCTGCAACTCCAGCCCACTTTCCAAAGGCTACAACTCGCACTCCTCTGTGATCCACCATTTTCTCATAATCTATCAATCGAATATTCTGAAAACATAAAGCAGAGAGTGTGTGTCATATACTCCATACCGAAAGTTCCTTTTCACAGCATTCTCCACCGTCCAAATAGATACATTCAACGTAAGTGAATACTGATTCAGTTTTTATTTCAATTTTTGGGCACCTTGCAAATTCTGTGCATATATCACTGGAATAAATGGGTTTGAAGCAAGTGCCAAAGATTAAGTGCTCCAGCCAGTCTTAGTACCTTTCATCTCAGAAGCGGTAGCACAAGAGAAATGTGTCTTTATAAATTCTTTGTTTTGCCCCCAATCTGAATACAGTTCAAAATATTATGCATGCTTTAAAAAACCATTAATCTGAACTAAAAATCAGCTTTGTCCAAAGAGGGTATTTCTTAGTATTAGTGACCATTTTCTTTCAGTGCAACCTTGATTTTCTAACTTGCATTTGACTTATCTTATCCCTCTCTTCCTCAACTTGAATTTCTCCATATAATCTGAAATACAATTTCTATCAATCCCAATCCTTTGCCAAACTTAATACAGGTAGTCCTCGGTTAATGACCACAATAGGGACTGGAGAATTCATCATTAAGTGGGGTAGTCGTTAAGTGAGGCATCACGTGGCCACACGGTTTTATGACATTTTTGTCATGGTCGTTAAGCAAATCACCACAGCCACAGTGTATCATGTGGTTCCTTGCAGTGAGACTTTTATATGTGCATGTGGCAAGACTTTTATATGCGCAAAAATGGGAGGACTTACAAATACCTACAGCTGAAGAATGGATATTGAAATTAATGGAATTGGTGGAGATGGCGAAACTGACTACTTATGTATTATTGAACTAGATTGATTTTAGGAATTTTCTTGAATATTAGATTAAAAACTATTTTTATTATGTAAACTTTTAGATATTAGAGTAAGAGGTGAATATATTTTACATTTATGCAAATGTAACATTATGCAAATGTACAGGTATCCTTGTACCAAGGAAACTTGGAAGCTACTCTTTCTTTTCTATGCCTTTTTTTTTCTTTTTCTTGATTTTTCTGTATTTTAACTTTTTTTGAAAACATAATAAAATTTATATTTTTTAAAAAAAGTGTATCATGTGGTTCTCCATTGATTTTGCTTGCTGGAAGCCAGCTGGAAAGGTCACAAATGGCGATCATGTGACCCCAGGATGTTGCAACTGTGGTTGCCAAGCACCCAGATCATGATCATGTAACCCCAGGGACGCTGCGACAGTTAAGTGCAAGGACTGGCCATAAGTAGCTTTTTTTAGTGCAATTGTAACTTCAAACGGTCATTAAATGAATGGTCGTTAAGCAAAGACTACCTGTAATTAATCATTTACTGTGTGAAACGTGTGGAGACCCAGGAGAAAACCTGTTTTACATCACTCCTATTTAGCATTTAAAGGACATCCAGTCATTTAGTGACATCACTGGAAAGGGTACAAACCAAAATGTTCCAACCCATTTTGGGGGGAAGAGACAGAAGGATATGGACAGGAACAGAAGGCAAATCCAATTAAAGCTAAACACCTTTTAATCCCAATGTGTAGGTAAATCAAGTGTCTGGTGCGTGTCTACTCAGATGTAAGCTACACTGAGGGCAATATTGCCTACTTAGATTAATGTAGCCTGAAAATGCATAACAGCAGATTCAGAGTGTGTGTATTTTTCTCCTTCTTTTTGCCTTTAAAACTCCTAACACACATTATAGATATTTGTCATATTATGGAAAGCTAACTGCATGCTTTACAAGTATTCTCACACTGCTTCCTTTGCATTTCATAATGGTATTATCATAACAATAGTTCTCAGTAATTGCAATATTACCTTGCTTAGGATCTCATCCAGCAAGGACATATTTGCCTCTTGAGCTTTGATAGTATGGGAGAAGAATGCATAGTTCTTGTTGGGAATTAGCTTATCTTCTGGAGGCCTCTTCACACCCACAATAAGGCAAGCCTGGGAAATATCTTCTTGTATAATGCCTCCAGCTTTAATATAGTCCTGCCAATGGATCATTAAAAGGTTACTGACACAGACAAGATGAACAAAAGCAGAAAACTCTTGAGATACAATTTCTAGATGCTATTCTGAATGAGTATAATTTATATCTATACTGGCCATGGGAGATGTCCAGCTCTTCAGATTTGATTTTGAAGAGGTGTTTTAGAACACATGCAAGTGCGAGCAGAGTGCCTGTCTCCTACTCATTAAAGCAGCCACATCTGTTTACAGGATCACATAGCTACAGCAGAAGCCTCCCCATGGACTGCTTATGCAGTCCTGCAGAAAAATATTTTTGATTTTCAGTTAGATCACACTCATCTGCCCAGAGCAGAACTGCAGTATAATTATTTTCACATTAAAAGAGGCTAGAAGCTTCTGAACAACAGATTCCTCGATGTGAACTTCATCCTTCTTCACCTCTGCTGCTCTTGCCTATCTCTGATGCCTCTCATCATTCTTTTAGCACATTTCTTCTTTTGATTTTTGCTTTTGATGTAAGCCTGGTTGATTCTACTGACTTCTTAGGTGTCTTTTTCCAAAGTCTCTGCCTATTCCGTCTCTCTTTTCCTGAAAGCCTCCAGCTGCCTTACCCCTGTGTAAGGGCATTTCAGCCAATCCATGCCAGAATTTCATTAGCCTTCCACAAAAGTTCTCTATATAGTATAAGTAGCTTTCTTGTCCATTCAATTTGCCTGTGCATTACATGAAGTTTTCTTTCTTTCTATTCAGAAGAACAAAACAGAATAGTACCCCCCCCCAAACATACCTTTTCATGAATGGCTCTGCGATTAGATGGTTGCACCAGAACTTTGTACCCCAAGTTGGTCAACATCTTGACATGGCGTGGTGCTAGAGGGGCTCTTCTTTCCCAGGCATTAACATCCTCCCTCCTGATTGCCAGGACAGACTTATGATAATGCTGCCATCTTGAAAGGTGTCTCTCAAACTGACCCCCCGTGTGTTTGAATGCTTGCAGCATGATTGAAAACCTGACCACAGCAAAGATGCAGTAACAAACAAATACAGCATGAAAATACTTCTGAAGCAGCCTTTTAGTGTAACAAGAGAAAAAGAAGTCTCTTGACTCCTTAGAAATCTGCTGTAAAATTTAGGCAGCAGGCAGCAAATAAGCCATAATTGCACATTGCCATTATTATTACTACTACTACTATTACCATGCTAATAGTCAAGCACTCTCAGCCCATTAGTACTGTTCAAATGGACCTTCTTTACTAAACAAGAACATAATGGAACCTTGCAGGTAACATATTAAAAAAAAATAGCAATGCCTTAAATATATACATGTAATTGCAGAATTCCAAAAAGCAAAGGCTCTCCAAGAAGAACTCAATAAACTGATTTAAACCAACCAATCCTAACCTTCCCGAGAAACTCTGGAATTCACATTGTTCCTGAATAAAAGTTTCTACCAGCCACATTGGTCAGTCATAACAATCCACAATTCCAATTCTTGCTATACTTTGGACCACAATCCATTTTTTTTTTTTTTTTTTTTTTGGTGCCTTCAATTTATTTTTTTTTTTTTACTCCTAGTGACTATCTGGACTAGCCTCTGCTGTTTTCTTGGGAAGATTTTTCAGAAGTGGTTTGCCATTGCCTCTTTCCTAGGGCTGAGAAAGATTGACTGGCCCAAGGTCACCCAGCTGGTTTTGTGCTTAAGGTGGGACTAGAACTCACCATCTCCTGGTTTCCAGTCTGGCGCCTTAACCATCACACCAGACTGGTACAAACACCAAACAATCCAACTTTACATTTCTTTTAAATATTTATATTATCCTTTCAGAAATAATAGCATTTAACATAAAATACTATTCTCAATGAAATAATATACAATACAAATACAAATACTTTAATGACCAAGTATAAAATATACACAAGGAATTTGTC